TGCGGGTCGCAAGAACCAGTGAACCTGAAATGTCCGCCACACGGCCATCGCAAATCATGACTTGTCACTCCCTTGCGCGGCATTTGCAGGCACTGGTTGGCATCGCCAACATTATCAAATGGGAGTAGCAGGCCCTGCTTTGGGGCTTCAGCGTCATTGTGAAACATTCGACGAATGGTTTGATGTCCAGCTGGTCATTAATCGTCAATCATCAGGTGCAAAGGCCCGATTGCCCAGGCTAACATCCTGGCACAGCAAGATCTCTGCACATCGCACAATTGTGTATCAAAAGCTCCTTTTTTTTTCCTTGTCACGCCCGTGCGTTTTGAGCTGAGAAGAGGACGTATGGGCCTTCATGCGCATACAGTCACCTACACATGTCTTGCTCGCAGCTGACAGTATGGAACACAGTGTCTCCAGCAAGCTGCGCGCAGCGAAGGCTTTGCAAATCAGTATAGTATACCATCACTTCATGGCTTCTTCCAGCATCCTGCGGGTTGCCGCCATGGGATCTTCTTCTTCCTTCTCAGCCTGTTCATGAATAAAGTCCTTGAACCTGAGGCGGACTACTGCCTCTAAGCGATTCTCTGGATAGAGCTCATCTGCAGCTTTGACTTTCCAAACATCTCCTTCTTTCTGAAGCGTGGCCACAAGCCAGACTCCCGTTGATCGAATCCCCTCAGGCCGTCGAATCCACACCAAGTCAGACTTGCCTTCGAAAAGCTTGGCCGTCCAAGGGGATTGACTTTTCGCAGTGGTGAAGCCTTGATTCGAGGATGCATCATTAATTGTTTCCTTGCTGGCAACCTGCGCTATCAAGGCCACAAGGGAAACCTTCTTTAGCTTGGACAAGTCTAGTGAGTTTTCCTCAACTATGGTTGGCGGCCCATCATCGCAAAATTGCCACCAGGAGTACTTGGGGATGAGACCACTGTTTGGGCCAGCATCTTCGGCCACAACTTTTGCTGAGACTCGACCGCCAGCACACTCTGATTCAAGCAGAGGGTCAAAAAGTGGTTTTCTTGGCCCTTGCTCCCGAAGAAAATCACCGAAGCCCACAGCTTTCCAGTTTGGTTTCAGTTGCTTCGAGGCCGCCTTTGGGTCAGCTTTGTCCCGCTCGGCCAGATATGCTGCACCGCTGGTTCTCTTCATGGAAACACAGCGAAAGACTTCAACGCCTTATGCTTAGCAACTGAGATATGACTGTATGCCTGTAGTCGGAGTGATGTCTGCATGGGCTGCTCTGAGTCGTTGACTTGAACCATCTACTCTGACAGAAGCAATTGTGCACATCATGCCATGGCTTTCTGTGCAAGAGCTTTGAAAAAGTGCAGCGTGTTTCAAGAAAGCTGAGGCTGGTACCAGCAGCACGGGAGCCACGTGCCGGTTGCGTTCTGCTACCTGCGCCACTGGCCTGGGCGGCATTGCGCCTTTCAAAAGATTGCTCGCTTGCATCTGGCTGGCAGCAGATCCCATCTCGACTACTCTATCCGAAGACCTGCGATCCAGTGCAGAGTTGTGATCTAAACAGATTTGACAAAACTCAATTAGAGGACACGGAGATCACATGCGGATCTGATTCGGAGTGGTTGGTAGCTACAATGCAGACCAGAGCTCATTCCAATCACCATTGAGTTGGACGCTGTCCAGAGCCTCTCCAAATTCTATTTAAAGCCCAACCTGATACTGTAAAGCTTCTGAGGGGCGCGGCTGTCGGGCGAGCCTAGGATCATTCATCCAAGTGTGTGCCTTAGCATGAAAATGCAGTCAGCAGCACTTGCGAACTGCTTCAGGAATTGCAGCGAAGGCTTCTCGTCCGATCACTTTCAGTTCACACGCCCTGGCTACGAGCAAGCATCTGCTTGAGAATCTTGTTGCCCAAGCTAAGCAAGCAACTCTTGAGTTGTAGCTGGGGTCTGGCCGCATCGGGCCCAGCCTGCCATACCAATTGTGAGCAAGAGGCAACCAAACTCACTCTCTCACACACTCAAAACATGCAAATAAGGCATGTTCTACGAGGTTAGTGTCATTGATTTGCTTGGCGTCCATAGCTCTACAGGAAATGTTCCGCCAGCAGCACACGTCACGCACAGACCTTAGACAAGATTGCGAGCCCATGATCGTCATACAAAAATGAAACCAGCACTCTCGTCTAAGAACACCACTGCCCAGCGCCGGAGTCCTGACACCAAAACATACCAAAACTGTCTGTGCGCAAGCACGCACTCCAGACAAAAATGTACAAGCCTGATATAGGCCAGTGACATCCAGCCTTAGGATCAAAGCCCGTCGTGTGAAAAAACAGCTGTGATGCAAAGACATGAAGCTTGCAAGTGGCTGTAGTGGGATTTGTGACTGCTGCGAACTTGTGTTCTGCTCTGGTTCTTGCTTCGGGATGATTAGTTAACTCAGAAGCAGACAACTGCAAGCCACACATTGGATTCGCGCCTCTCTGCTGCCCTGCAAGGATGTAAACAGGAGAAGCTGCATCATGCATCCAAGCCAAACACACGAACCGGAGCCTGGCACGGTGCATGGCATCGGCCAAGGCGCAGCTCCACAGCCCCTGCCAGCCAGGCCCGATGTCCACACAACACATTCGTCTGCAACGTCAGCAACCATGCCCAGGTCACTGGTTTGCACCAGGGGAGCCTCAAGATGCAACGGGAACACATGCAGTTTGGGCTTCACTCATATCCATGCTGACCGTCCATGGGCAGGTTGCTTTTGCACAAGGTGCTAGCCCTGAAGCAGTGCTTTAGATGGCTAGCTCCTAGAAACTCTTTGGCAGCGCTTTGTGTGTTGCTGTACCCGGCCGCTACAGACTGGCAGCGGCCAAGTTTGCTCTTGGATCTTAGGCATGCCTGCTGATGCCTCTTGGCTCATGCTGTGGCAACTACGGACCAAACATCGCTTACTTGCATGTGAAGCTCAGTCCAAGGCAATGCGAGGGCATCTGCTGCATGTTCGATGCGCTGACAGGCCTAGAGCATGCCATCAGGGGCTCGCAAAATGCGCATTAGTGCTGCTTCGGGCTCCAACGCTTGCCAACCTTGCGGTTGAGAGACTGCGTATGTGACCTCAGACATTAAGTGAGGTCGGCAATTGGTACTAAGTAGCTCATGCTGGTGCACCAGAAGATCGAGGCACCCACTTCAAGCCCCTCACTAGTTGAAGTCCTCAGTTTCGATTCCATTTGCCAGACTAGCTTCAACCACAAGCCTTCAAGTGGGAACCTGCTTGCAGACAGCTGTGGGGATGTGCTACAAGTGGCTTGTCAATGCTATGCATCATGACACTTGCTGGAAGTCTTGCGGTCGAAGCTCAGGATCGTCCGGCCAGCAGACTCGTTTGAAGGCAAGGAGGGCCTGCTGCCCATGGCGAAAGAACCTCCGAAGACAAGACAACTCACGGCACTGCCCCCACACAACTAAGCTGAACCTTGAGGAGGGACCGCAGGTGCCACCTTGTCGTTTGCACTTCTGACCTCCAACCCAAAATTGGTCGAACTCTATCTCCGAAGTTCTTGCCACACTCGAAATCACAGTCACATGAAAAGGCCCAAGTTTTGCAGGTTCAGCGCTTTTCACATCATCAGCTTGCAAACCCGCTTGTGCCCCAGCAGTCGTGCCTGGCTGAGGTGCGGCCTGCACTGCGGCTCCGAATCAACATGGCCGTGCTACTTTATTGCCCACACTGAGTGACATTGGGGTGTGTGCTTAGTGAGGCCCAAACTGCTGGTGGAACCCAAGTCCCGAGAGTCCCGAACCGGACCTGGCAGACAATCTGCCAAACCAGCTGGCCGGCCACGTGCTGCATCTCTGCACTACCGTACGCACTGTGGTGGCCACTTGTCAGTATACTGCGGTGGCACGGTTGCTGGCCTCAAGGCGTGAAAGCTTGCTTGACTCAGGAAGCTTCAAGCCTTGAAGCCCATTTGCAGGACCGAGGGGCACTTGCCAGAAGGCTGTTCCCTCCAAGCTGTTCATGTCCTGTATGCTCCAAAAAGGTGATAAAATGGCACATACGTCCACAACAACCTACAGCCTCATGGTTGGTCGCAAGTCTAGCAGCTTCGCTTGCAGCTCCACGGCCAGACGCCCAGCCACGACCGGATTGGGCTGGTGACGGTGGCATGCTTGGCCTAGGCATGTACCAACGCCACACCATCAACCACCTGCATGAAATGTCTCCGACCGGCTGTTCAGCGCAGGAGATGACCTGTAGAAGATGATTGCAAAGCATGCTCGACAGGAACGATTTCAAGTCATGATGCCATCGAAACAGCCTGAAATCGCCAGAGTCAAAAGCTCCGATGTCACCAATGATCCGCCTGTGGCTGGACATAGACATTGATGCAGACTTTCAAATTGCTTTTGCTAACCCCTACCTCTGCATATCGTTGCCAGATACATTTCCCCAAAACCTGACGAAAATCCAGGATGTCCATAACGCCAAAAAATTACACGTAAAGCGGTCTGAGACAGCGGCGCTGCTTCGTTCCCTCCTCACTAGCACAGGATGTGTAAGGACAAACACAAGAAGAAATGCCAAACATGTAAAACCTTGGATGGGACGTGTAGAAGTCGATACATAGCGTGACATCTGCTGTCAAAGAACAGTAGTTCAGCTTTGGCAATTGAAAGTTTATTGCTTTGCGCGAGAGTTGCAAGGCATTCCGCATATATTCTGTCAGTGCAAGCTCGCGGCATCTCGCGGCTCTAGGTATGGCAAAGACTTGGAAGTGAAGCAAGCAGTTCACGACTCTTTGCAGTATCAACAAAAACATGGATAGCATGGCAACCCCAACACTATAGGACCTTCATGGACATGCAAAAATCATTGAAGCTTGGGACATGCGGCATCCGGCAACAGCAACTTCGCAACAGACTTGGCTGCAGTTTGCGGAGCACAAGCCTGCACTTCCAAACCTGAGGCTGCTGCCAAGGTTTGTGGCCCAGGGATTCCAGCCCTCAGAGTCAGAACTGAGCTGGATTCCATTAGCACAGCAAGGCCCTGCCACCAGCCTGGGGATCTACGGGACCGGATGCTGTCGAGGGAAACGGCTGCCAAACCTGCATCACTTGTCGTGTCTTGATCTTTTGTGGCTCTACCAGCCAGCAGTCATGCTGTTCCTTGCCTCTCTAGGCGTGTGAAGAGAGGAAGTTGGAACCTGCACAAGCTACACTCTCATTTCTTTCAGTCTTGTAGCCAGTGCCATACGTGGTGGTCTTCTTCGAGCGTGCTGGTTGACAGCCTATACTCAACACATACACCCTTTTAGTCTCGTTTTTTCCGAGTTCCATGCTTAAGAAAAGCTGGCCTGCACAGCTC